GCGAAGTATTGGTGTCGCGGCTGGTGCGCAAAAAGTGCCAGAAATCATCCGCCACGCGAACGTACTCCTTCATGGCCTCCTTGGTGTTGAGCGAGGACCCCGTCGTCCAGCTGAGCAGCAAGGGCTCGAGGAGGGGCGCGTCGGAGACGCTGGGGTGGGACGTGCCGATGCTGGTGAGGAACCAGGAGGCGTGGCTGGGGATGCGGCGGAGGACGCCGAGGGCGAGCTCCTTGACGGTGTCGAAGTGCGGGCGGCCGTAGAAGGCGCTCTCGTGCTTGGACCAGGTATTTGAGTGGACGATGAGGAGGGGCACGTCGATGACGGCGTTGAGCGGCCCGCTCTGCTTGCCCGGGTCGAAGATGATGCCGCCGACGGCCGGGTTGACGTCCGAGGGCGCGTGCTTGAGGGCCTGCAGGGCGCCCGTCGCGCCGAACGAGTGGCCGCCGATGGTGAGGTTGCCGAGGTCGAGGCGGCCCGCCCAGTCGCGCAGGTGGGCGCCCTCGTGGCGCGAGTTGAGGCGGTACACGTCCTCGCCCTGCCCCTCGTTGATGGCGCGCAGGACGGCGACGGTGTGCAGGATCTCGGCGTCGCGGAAGGCGAGCTGGTCGTACTTGAACTTGGCCCTGTCCATGGGCGGGACGGACTCGAGCTCTCCGTCCTCGAAGTGCAGGATCCGCCTGTCGGGCTCGCCTTTGATGCGCATCAGGGATCCCGGTCCGCTGCCGTCGCGGTGCTCCACGGCAGCCACGACGTAGCCCCTGCTGGCCATTTCGCCGACGAAGTTGGTGTAGTCGGTCCTGGAGCTGGCGTCGCCGTGGGAGAAGACCATGACGGGGAAGGGCGGCTGCTCGGGGGCGTCTAGTAAAGGGACGTCGACCTTGGCGGGGATGGTGATGCCGCCCGCGATGAGCCACAGGGCAAACGTGAAGATGGGCCGCACGATGAAGTTGTTGACGCCGGCAAACTTGGCGTAGCCCTCGGCCGTCAGGCTGATGGGCCGCGCGATCCAGTCGTGCCTGCGCTTGTGCTCGCGGGCGCCCTTGTCGACGGGGTAGTACACGGTGAAGAGCGTCGTCTTGTGCTCAAAGGCCGGCTCGCCGCTGTCCTTGAAGACGGCCTCGGTGACGAGCCGCGGCTTGTCGAGCGGGACCTCAATGTCCACGGCGCCGACGTCGTAGCGGCCCGTGTACGCCGGCAGCGGGTGCGCGAACAGCGGGACGCCGCGGACGAGGCACAGCAGAACGTAGGCCATGAGCACGACGGAGGCGCCGTACCGCCATGTGAGCCGCGGCCGCAGCAGGTCAGCGACAAAGGTGAC